AATAATTTAGTAATTTTTGAATTACACAGCAAAATCATTTTTAGATATGAATAAAAATTCATTTTTAACTTCCCGTGGGGCAAGTTATAGTAATCGCAAAAAAATCGAAAATGAAAAATTTTATATATCTTTACGTTTCAGAGGTTTCTGAACATTTTGGCATACCTTAGAAAAAATGGATGTATGAGTGTGTGTGTGTGTATGTATGTGTGTACGTGTGTGTATGTATGTGCGGATACAAATTTTCGTCGACGATTTCGGGAACACGGATCAACCGATTTGAATAATTCAAAAAGCATTCGATTTTTATTGAGAAGGAGACGTGCTGATCAGTTTTTGGCAAAGGCAGGTCCAGCCGTTCCAAAGATACGGGGCAAAAAGTGCCGAAAACGGTAACTCAGTTTTTAAGAGAACGGAGCGTCCGATTTTAATAATTCAAAAAACATTTGACTTGTATTAACAAGATGAAGAATTGATCAAATTTTCATGAGGGCAGGTCTAGCGGTTTCGGAGATCTAATAAAAAAGTAAAAAAAAATGCCATTTGGCGGTCAAAAATGATCATTAGACATATGCGCATTAAATTATCAGATATTTTATAGAGATTTTAACAATAAGTATAAATTTAGTTTGCATTCCTATGGGTTCCGTACCAATGTTTATTCGTTAGACGGCGACGCGGCGCTTACGCGCTTTGACATTTTGTCTCTATGCAGATAAAGCAGTACGATTGCTTTGAAAAAAGTTCAGATCTTCCAAAATATGCCAAAATAAAAAAAACATTATTTTTTCCAAAATAAATTAAAAAAAAAATTTTTTTTCAAAAAAAAGTAATTTTTTGTCCAATTTATAATTTCTCAAAAATCTTATTTTTTCGAAGTAATTTTTTTTAAAAAATGTCAATCGTTTTTAAAAAAAATAATAATTTTTGGTACGGGAAGTTCCAGCAATTTGCCTTAAGGCACGATGCCTTAATTGCCTTAAGACAGAATTCCACTTACAGCTAGTTTTAGTCATAAAATTATTAAAGTCTATCTATTTATATATCCAAATCCCATACAAACTAGGACAGCTAGTATTTTAATAATCATGTATAAATCAATGTATACATGTATATATCCAATTCCCATACAAACTAAAGCAGTTAGGCCATATATAATCATGTATAAATTAATATATACATTTATATATCCAATTCACATACAAACTAAGGCAGTTAGGCCATATATAATCATGTATAAATCAATATATACATTTATATATCCAATTCCCATACAAACTAAAGCAGTTAGGCCATATATAATCATGTATAAATTAATATATACATTTATATATCCAATTCACATACAAACTAAGGCAGTTAGGCCATATATAATCATGTATAAATCAATATATACATTTATATATCCAATTCCCATACAAACTAAAGCAGTTAGGCCATATTAATCATGTATAAAATTAATATATACATTTATATATCCAATTCCATACAAACTAAAGCAGTTAGGCCACATATAATCATGTATAAATCAATATATACATTATATATCCAATTCACATACAAACTAAAGCAGTTAGGCCATATATAATCATGTAAATCAATATTTATATACATTTATATATCCAATTCCATACAAACTAAAGCAGTTAGGCCATATATAATCATGATAAATTAAATATATACATTTATATATCCAATTCACATACAAACTAAGGCAGTTAGGCCCATATAATCATGTATAATCAATATATAAGTTTATATCCAATTCCCATACAAACTAAAGCAGGTAGGCCATATATAATCATGTATAAAATTAATATATACATTATATCCAATTCACATACAACAAGGCAGTTAGGCCATATATAATCATGTATAAATCAATATATACATTTATATATCCAATTCCCATACAAACTAAAGCAGTTAGGCCATATATAATCATGTATAAATTAATATATACATTTATATATCCAATTCCCATACAAACTAAAGCAGTTAGGCCACATATAATCATGTATAAATCAATATATACATTTATATATCCAATTCACATACAAACTAAAGCAGTTAGGCCATATATAATCATGTATAAATCAATATATACATACATTTATATATCCAATTCCAATACAAAAAACTAAAGCAGTTAGGCCATATATAATCATGTATAAATCAATATATACATTTATATATCCAATCCCATACAAACTAAAGCAGTTAGGCCATAATAATATCTCATGATAAATAATATATACATTTATATATCCAATTCATACAAACTAAAGCAGTTAGGCCATATAATCATGTATAAATCAATATATACATTTATATATCCAATTCACATACAAACTAAAGCAGTTAGGCCATATAAATCATGTATAAATCAATATACATACATTATATATCCAATTCCAATACAACTAAAGCAGTTAGGCCATATATAATCATGTATAAATCAATATATACATTTATATATCCAATTCCCATACAAACTAAAGCAGTTAGGCCATATATAATCATGTATAAATAATATATACATTTTATATCCAATTCACATACAAACTAAGGCAGTTAGGCCATATAATCATGTATAAATCAATATATACATTTATATATCCAATTCCCATACAAACTAAAGCAGAGTTAGGCCATATATAATCATGTATAAATTAATATCTACATTTATATATCCAATCCCATACAACTAAAGCAGAGGCCACATATAATCATGTAAAATCAATATATACAGTTATATATCCAATTCACATACAAACTAAAGCAGTTAGGCCATATATAATCATGTATAAATCAATATATACATACATATATATCCAATTCCAATACAAACATAAAGCAGAGTTAGGCCATATATAATCAGTATAAATCATATATACACATTATATATCCATTCCCATACAAAACTAGACCAGCTAGTATATATATAATCATGTATATATCAATATATACCATTTATATATCCAATCCCATACAAACTAAAGCAGTTAGGCCATAATAATCATGTATAAATCAATATATACATTTATATATCCAATTCCCATACAAACTGAGACAGTTAGTACGATATCTTGAAGTCAGTAAAAACAATTTTATAACAAAAGTTATTGTTCAGCTATAAGTTCGAATAAATGAGTTCACTTGTTCTATATAATTTTAAGGAAATAAATGCCACTAAAAGTT